GATGATTTTTTGAAAAACCGTAGTAATTACTTATTTTTTAGGGAAAAAACTACACTAATTTAATGAATTTTATTAAGGAATAATAATTTTAAAAAGAATAAAAGAATATGAATATATGTAATGAAAATAACTAGTTTTAACTATTTTTTAATAAAAATTTAAATGTACGGAAAGGACTTAATTTGTATAAAAGTTGGCAACCGTTTTACATACATAATTATCCCTTCCAACCTTATCAGTACTTCTTTTGCATAAAGTAGAGAGAACGTTTCTTTTGGTTCTATATATATATAGGTCATTTATTAAATTTTTAATATAAACATACTATTTTATTTTTTATTTAATATAATTTACTTTTCTTATTTTATTTATAAGTTATTTCTAATATATCTCACATAAATCAAGAAAACTCTTAAATTTCATTAATTCTTATTTAAAATTCAATAACTTTTTAATGTTATTTCTATTTAAGATAGATTATACCTTATATAAACAAAATCAGCATAATGATAAATAAAGGATAAAATTATACATCTATATAAAAAAATTCTCTTACTGCTCTATAAACAGAACCGAAAAATATTTTTATAAATAGGACCAGATGAGTAAATAATTATTTTTAAAAAATATACATTAAATAAGTCTAAAATCACAAAATTATTATATTTTAATAAAAAAAATTAATGCAATTTAATACTTTTCTTGATCTATATTATCTTTATAAATAATTGGAATAAAACCAGAGAACTATATTACTAGCACGATTGTCGGCAAAAGGCAATTCAACGGATTCAAATGCATTGGCTCCTGCCCAACCCCCCCGTCCTTTTGTTCACTATTTTGCTCCCTTTCATTATTATTATTTTTTAAAAAAAAAGGTGTCTCGTCACTTGAATGCTTTAAAATATATTTTTTAGTTTTACTGCTTGATTTGAAATATATATGATTCAGATTTCATAATTGTGAAAACTTTAATACTATGGTAAAAAAAAAAAGTTTCACCAATTTTTATTTAAATGATCTTTTTAATAATATTAAAATATATTACTACTTTTAATGATAATTATAAAACCTTATTTGTAAAATACTACTTTCAATTCTAATTATAAGATTTTATTTCTTAAAAAAAATTACAACAGAACAGTAATAACAAAAGCTAACATCCTTCGTTGCCTTGCCGCCTCCACTTGACGTAAAGGTGGAGTGCAGTGAAGGATATAAAAATTTTAAACAAGATTATGTGACTGCTTAGCTAAATAGACCACTAGGACAATCTAATCAATAATAGTATGATTTATTAGGATTTTCCAGTCCCTAAAATATAAAAACAATCTTCATCAACAACACCTCTGGAAGGATGGGATCTAATAATTAAATTAACAAATTTTATGCAAACATTTGATAGTCCAATATAAATGATTTTATAACCAGTAATGTTAATTATAAAAAATAATTGGAATATTTTTTAAAAAAATTAAATTTAGATTACTCATATTTAGTTTAAATATCTAGAAACCATAATAAGTATTATTATTCATAAACCAACGGGAGTTAGATCTAGTAGAAGAGACTAAGAGGCTAATCTTTTATAACATAATGAACCAATGTTTGAATTTTTACTGAGAAAAACGCTCACATTTATTGCCCAACAAACATTTCAATCTGAGTTGGCTCCAATAAGATAATACCTGTACCTAGCAAAAAGTATTATTATTCATAAATTATAAATAATAAAAACTCATTTTCTGTATAATATAGGGAAAATCCCAGAAAAAGCCCTTGGAATATACCAAATCCCAGATTGAGCCCTTAAATTTCGAAAATGACAGAATGGGTCATTGACCCAATTTGTCATTTGTGAAATTCAGGCGAATTGACATTTTTGCCCTTGAGCAAAAGTGAGTAGTTATTCTCTAAACAAATCTAGGTAACGCTTATACTGTTCTAGTGATTACAAGATTCGTTGTAGTTAATAATAAGGTACCTGACAATAATAAGATACCTGACTATGAAAAAATGAGTAGTTATTCTCTACACAAATCTAGGTAATGCTTACATTGTTCTAGTGATTACTGCATTAGTTGTAGTTAATAACAAGACACCTGACTATGAAAAAGTGAATAGTTATTCGCTATACGAATCTAGGTAACACCTAAACTCTTATAGTGATTCCTTGAATCATTGTAGTGAATGAATAAATGAGGGCAAAATTGTCAATTCGCCTGAATTTCACAAATGACAGATTGGGTCAATGACCCATTCTGTCATTTTCGAAATTTAAGGACCCAATCTGGCATTTCTCATATTCTAAGGACCTTTTTTGGGATTTCCCTATAATATATGTAAGACGTGCACTTATTTTGTTTTTTTGCCAACAAACGTGTTATTAGTTTGTAAATATATATATATATATATATATATATATATATAAATGCATTGTACAATATGCATAAAGTTTATTTTTAACGGTTGGCTAAAAAAAAAAAACTGATTTTTGGCGACAGGCACGAAGGGTGGACCGTTTTTGTCTGTCACTTGGTGAGGAGCAAACAAAGCTTAGGCCCATTGGCCTTGCAAGTTGGGATTTTGTCTCACGCCCCCTGGAAAAGGCTTGTACATTTTTGTCCCGCTTAGGTGAGTCAGGCTTATATGCAAAATACAATAAGTAAATTATATAGATTAAAAGGTTGATTAAAATTAATTAAAATAATAAATATGTAAGAAATGAGTTTTATTTTTCCAAAAATACTCTTATTGATGGAGAAAGGGAGAGTGAATGAGGGAAAATGGATAGGAAAAATAAATGCGTTAGATATCATTAATGCACTAATATGATAAGTAATTAATCGAGAAAAATTTAAAAAAATTGGTTGAAACTTAAATTATTCTTTAAGTGTATTTTCATGGTGCAGATGGAATTTTACCCTCAACACCTCAATTTTTTTTAATTGTGTAATTTTATTTATGATTTTTTAAAATATAATTTTACCCACAATCATTTTATTTTGGTATAATTTTATTCATTATTAAATATATACATAAGCACATGATTATACTAAAAATGATAAATATAAGAAACAAAATAGATCAAATTTTTATATCCAAAACCAAGCTTGTACTCGAGAATAAACCGGTCCTCATTTTAGAGAGAGAGAGAGAGAGAGACATCATCATCACAAATGGTGCTGCAAGTCTAAAGCAGGGCCACAGAGAAAATGACAATTATTGAAGAAAGAAAAATCTTTGTTGGACACAAGGTCATCAAAATGTTAGGGTTTTGTCAGTTTCTGGAAAAGAAATTGGCAACACACAAAAAAAAAGAAAATCCTTTATTGATAGTCATATAGCCTCAGCAAGAAGAAAAGTCAGGATCCCTTTTATAACCTCACGCATTTTTTTTTTTGATAAAAATTTTTTTTTGATACAGTTCTTAAAACACAAATACTCTTCTATTAGAAACAATCATATTCAAAACACTATCCTGTACTAAATGTAGACACCTCTCTCGGTAAGGATTCGAATATTAATTTACCACAGAATTCGCACACTTGGTTACACCCAACTCTTTTTGGTGAAAAGACAATTTATTAAGGGGAAAAAACCAAGTAAAATGACATACAACTATTTAGACCCTATTACACAATAAAAGCAAATGAAAACGCAAGGGTCCAACTATAACCGAAAGGAAAACAGAGAAACAAAATGGACAACATGCGCACTAAAACAAGAAAGAGAGGAGCTCGGAAAGTGCTTGTCCAACTTAAGCCATGAGACAGCAAGGTAAGCAGAGGATGCAGAAGATGAGGCGACCACAATTAGTGGAATACTAACTGTGCATGACTGAAAAGTTTTGCATAATTATGTGTACAAAGAAGCTAATTATGCAGACTGATTAGCATGATACGTTCTAGAATGAAACATCAATCGAGTCACATTATAGATCCACCTCCAGAGTGTAGACTACAGTAATTATGAATTATGATTTTAGCAATGATCTCCTAAATTCTGGTTAATTTGTTATTGGACTCCCTTCAAAGCTTTTGCCTCCTATTTTATTCCGGGAAACCAAAAAAAAAAAAAAAAAGAGTAGGGCCACAGCAGGATAATAAATTAATAACCAAGCAAGCATGATAAAGAATCTCGCAAGCAGAAAGTGAAACAAAACAACCAAAGAGAAAAAGACAAAACAAGGAACTGTGAACTTTGCAGGAGTCGATTTAAGATCCACAGGGCACATGGTGCGATTTATTAAAAAGCCGGGTAGCAAGAATCCAAGGAACCACACATTTGTTTTGTCCATAAAAGCCAAATTCATATATAATATAAACTTTGAGGCAAGACTGTAACTTACCATAAGCCATGAATACTAAAATTTATTTTAATACATGAAAACAGGTCTGGTGTTATAGAGAAACAGGAACTTGGCTTTCGTGAGAAGGGAATTCACCAAATACAAGCATTTTTAAGCTCCAAATCATATTCAATGGGATCTTGAAGATCTTAAAGACATGATTAAAATAATTAAAAAAATAAAAGAAATGAAATATATGCAGCAATAGTGCATATTTTCTCACCTCTCAGCAAACTGTTCAATTTCCTTTCTTCCTCTTGTGCAAAAAACACAAACCCATCATAACAGCTAAAATAAGCAAAACTATGAACAGTTGCACACCTGAGAATGGATTCAATCTCCTTCAGAGAACTAGAGTCCGTCATTATAATACCCCATGGTGAGGATTTCAAGTTTATTTTTCCTCTCATATATCTGCAAATTTTTCGTAACTTCGCACAAGCTTTCAAACAGAGGAACTTCCTACTTTTCATATCTTATATCCAATTATTGTCATGCCTTCCCCTGTAGAGGCTAAAACAATGCGATTTGGACAAAATGCATTAGGAGAAGTTTTGTACATGAGAAGAAACCAAATTTTGCAGGGCAGGTGTTCAATTTGTTAGGGAGAGAGGGAGAAGGATAGAAACTAGAAGAAAGAGTGAGCATATGCAGAAGAAAAGATAACATGCACTGAATCTCAATACTTGACTGTTTTTAGCTTGTGCCTTTCAGGAGAAGGAACTATAGTAGGTCCACTCTTATCACGCAACACAGATTTTAGCTATGGGCACAAAACACTCCCTGTAAACAATATAAAGCATTCATTTTACACTTTTAATGACGAAGAAGACAGCATAAAAGGGGGAGTTTATTACTAAATCAACTTCAAAGCACAACCTAGAAAACACAGTCCCCAACAAGAGGCTTCAATACCCATTACTCTGCAAACAGTAGAAACTACGGCCAATTGTTTGACAAAACCATCTTTCAGAAGGAAAACATCATTGAACTTGGAAGCTGGAGATCAAAGGGGGAAATCACCATTTGCATCCATCATACCTACCATTGCAGCACAGAGCAGGAAACAACTCATCTTAATTTAGCCTTATACTCCATAGGATATTGCAATTGTAATAATGGGCTCACTGATCCTCCTCAGCCAAGAGGTAGTAAAATATATGGCAAGATCAAATAAAGGGCAGTATTCTGAAGTAGACGATGATATACAAGGAAAGAGAGAAAAGGGCAAACACATGTTGCCAGAAGAGAATTGCTGAAGCTTCACTAACTGCATAACCCCTCAAGCTGGCTATTGCTCCCAGTAAAATGGCACTTGGTGTAGTGTATTGTAACAAAAGGACAAATCTAAACATGGCATCATTCGCAACCAAGAAATTCAGCTGATCAGACAATGCCACAATTCCAATTCCCATAATGGGAAGCACAAGGAGTCTAGCCACAATAATACCAATTGTAGTTCTGAGTCCAAGTGTAGACTCATTTGGGCCCTCAGCGAGCATTCCCCCAAGAATAAGCATCACAGAGGGTACCATAGCACCACCTAAAATTTCCAAACTGTCCTTGAAGAAAGATAGGGGAGCATCATTATCGAAGACGAATGCTTTCAGTTGAGGCACCGAGCCAATGATGATAGCTAATAGAGAGGCAATTGTTGGGGGTTGAAGTATGTGCTGAATTGGAGTTTGTTCAGCAACGACTCTGATCCTCCTAACAACTCTAGGCTCAGCTAAACACCTAATGGACCGAGGACTGTTCCCACTGCTTTCTGGGGTTATTTCGAGATCAGGTATAGTGGCTGCGGAAACTCCTGAAATGCTCTTAAAGATCCTGGCAATAAAGGGTGTCTTGGAATGTTCAGTCTCTTTATCTTCAATTCCAGGCCACTCAGCTTCTACAAGGAGTGGCCTACTGATATCATTAAGTGGGCGTACTTCCTCAATTTCAGCCCCTTCATCAACAAGCTCATAATACTCCATAGGAGGCTCCATCATGTGATAAACGAGAGTATAAACTAGAATTACAGCAACCCATTGAGAAAAAGAGACATAGGCCACACTTCTTGAGTGGCAATTAGATCCAAATGGATTATTTGAAGTATGGCAGACAGAACCAAGTACAGCAAGAGGGAGATTTCCTGTGTTTCCAAATCCTGTCATTATTATGGTAAATCGGTTAAATCGAGGAGGTGGGCGACATATGACCACCACCAAGAACCCAAGTATGCAACCAAGAGCAGTGCTCACAAGCACATTGACAGGAATAAACCACCAATCCAAAAAATTCTTCAGAGTAATGCTTTCACCAAGTTCAGTAAAGATTAGACATGGCAAGAACAGAGCAAATACAAGTTTACTGAGGAGTTTGAATGTCGCTCTGGGGATGAGTTGCAGTTTAGGGTTTGCAAGGAGCAGTCCTATGACAGTTAGGGAGAGAAGTTTCAACAATGGCACAATAGCAGTCTGAAGATCTTCACCGCTAGACTTCATATCATTTACGTGCAAACCAACCACAGGTCCTCCTGACATTTTTTCTTAAGAACTTGAAGACGAAGAATAAAATCCCCTTCTGCAAGAGTTCACATAGCAATACATAAGTGAATAACTGAATATCCAAGCCCTTTATGCGAAAATCCATCAAAATTACAACAACTGTCACAAAAAAAAAAAGGAGATCCAGGGCTTCAAAAATCTATATACGATAATACCTGAATTGTATTAACCACCAAATCTTTTGCCAAAATTGATTGAAATCAAAACAAGATCTCAAAACTGTGAGCAGAATCTTAATATAAATCAAATGGAAAGAGTGTTTATTGCTCAATGAAAAGGTGAAGCAGATTATAAGGAAACAACTGAAGAAACAGAGAAAATTAAAATTTTAAAATCAGCAGATGAAGAAAATTCGAAACCCATTTGAACAGTTGTAAAAGTGAAATCTTTCACGTTTATCTCGCCTCAGCCAACGGATAAAGGATTCACGAAATTGTTGATAAGCCCGGGCCAAAGCAAACACCACAGGATAAGTATGATATGAAGATTGAAGACTGCGTCCAGAACCGTAAAAGAAAGGAAAAAAAAAACTCACCAAAACGAAGCTATTGCAGGCAAGGTGATGAAGAATTAGGGAACTTACGAGTTAAAAATCAACAGATGAAGAAAACTCAGCAAGCTCCCGAACTGAAGATTGGTGGAGTAGAATCTTTCAAGTTCTTCAGGCTTCAGTCAGCAGATAAGAGATTCATGAAGTTGCTGACGAGCTTGAGCCAGATGGAATATGGGATTAATCTCATCAGACAAACACAGTAATCTGCAATCAGCTCAAGATGTGGCGATATTGAATTATTGGCTTTATGACTAGGAGAGAGACAATGATGGCTTGCAAATTATTTTCCTAAAATTTATTTTAAACAGCAGATAAGATTTTTTTTTATAAAGAAAACAGGTTAATTCCATAATTTTAAACTGTTTTGAATTATTGTTTAATATTAAAAATATAGTCATTTACATTCTATAGTATTGAATGACTATCATAAAATTTAGTATCAAATCTCACACGATTTTATTGTTCTTTTAAAATTATTTAAGATTAAGGTTTAAGATTTGGTTTCAATAAACAATATTTAATAAAGAGAAAAATATATCTCAAATTAAAAATTAAGGAAAAAAAATATAGATACATGGAAAATGATTTTTTCCTAATTAAACTCATAGTTATTAGTTTGAGATATGACTCTAATATCATTAAAACAAAGTTCATTGTTTAATAGAATTAAATCCCTAATAAGGTCATACAGATAATTAAATTTTATTTTCATAACTTTTTTTAATGAAATCAAGCCTAATTCTTGAAAAAATTACAAACAAAGACCCCTAATATGTAAAATTATAATTTGGGATCTTAAATTTGAAAAATAGTAGATAAGGATTGAGTCTCACTTTTGCAAATATAAAATGTTGGTGAAATGTCTAAAATACCCCTCAACTAAATAGTGATTTGATCTATTGAAATTGTTATTCGGTAAAGTAAACTTGTCATATCCCATAGTTAATTCGTCATTTGACATATCTTCAACCAAGTTATGATTTGGTCTACTAAAGTGAACTTGTTATTTCCTATAGTCAACTTGTCATTTGGCTGAGGGGCATTTCAAACATTTCACCATGATTTCATATTTGCAAAAGTGAGATCGGGTCTTTTTGTTATTTTTAAGGTCTCAAATCATAATTTTACATATTAAGGGTTTTTATTTATAATTTTTTCTAATTCCTTTTGGATGCGTGAGACTACGATTGAATAAAGCTGAAAAGGTTTGTAACCATTCTAACTTCTGTGGGTACCACGAATTTTGTTTTGTTTTGTTTTGTTCGTTGATATTTAAAAAGAACAGAAGTGAAACAAAAACCAAAACGCGTTATCATGGACCTTTTTGAATTTTTTCAAAAAAACAAGGGTTAATTAATCCGTAAGTCCTTATAATTTTAACGAATTTTAAATCAGGTCCTTATAGTTTTTTTTCTTTTTATCAGGTCCTTATACTTTTACTTTTTCTTAATTAGGTCCTTATATTTACTTTTCTTTTAATTAAGTCCTTATAATTTCACTAAATTTTAATCAGGTCCATGTAGTTTTAATTTTTATTTATTAATTAAATATAAGTTTATTTAAATAGATTAATACTGAAATATAAATATTAATAATTAAATTAAATTAATAATTATGTAATAAAAAAGTAATAGAATTAATTAATTCAGGAAATTTTTTTAGAACAATTAATTTTTTTGCTGAAAAACTTAAAATCATTATAATAATTCAATATCTTTAGAATATTATTGTTTATAAACTAATATTAAATAATATATACTATTTTATGTTATATAATAGTACTATTAGAATTTATAAAATAAAGAATAAAAAATTCAGGGACTTAATTAAAAATAAGGTGAACTTATAAGGACTTGATAAAAAGAAAAATAAATACAAGGATCTAATTAAAAACAGATGAAAGTATAAGGACCTGATAAAAAGAAAAAAAACTATAAGGACCTGATTCAAAATTAGTTGAAATTATAAGGAGCTGTGGATTAATTATCCCAAAAAACAATATAGAAGTTAAAGTCATATAAAGTCCGGGGCTTTTTATGATTAGGGGAAATAACAACATATAATTGTCCGAATTTACATGTATGGCGATAATGTCGCATACTTGTAAGTGTGATTAGGTAAATAGTACTCTTCCGGTTTTTAATATAAGACATAATTGTTAAGTTAGTTTTAGATCCCAAATATAAGACTTATTTTTTATATTTATCAAATTTTTTTAAATTACCCTTATAAATACTCCCTCAACCATAATTAAGTAAGTTGGGAGGAGGAAGGATATTAAAAAAGATGATTATGGTGTTTTAGGAAAAACATGTCATATTTCTTATAATTAACTAACTTATCTAACTTCTTTAATCTAATCAAATTAATTCAATATGTCTTATATTAAGTATCGGAGTATTCCTTTCCAAAATTTGATGGTTGATTGTAGTTTAATAGTTTATAGATGATATCACCTTTTCTTTTTCGGTTAATTGGTATTTAGTGTTATAAGTACATTACGTTTGCTGTTGATCCCAAATGCGGCCAAACCCCGCTTCAATTTTTGTTTTTTTTGGAATGGCAATGAATGTATTAACAAAACGTACAACAGCTTACAACGGCACAACAACCAAGCTACGTACTCTATAGAACTAAGGAGTTCACTAGCATTAGTTGTGTGATTGACAAGAGTACAAACAGGGATAATGATTTCCTCAGGGGTGGAGGATTCATTCATGAAAATACATTTGTTTCTATCATCCCATAATTTCCAGCAAAGAGTGCCAAAAAAGAGACGTTAGTGAGTATCCATGCATCTTGGGTTGAGGTTCCAAAGAAACCAGTCTTGGATGGGCTTTTGAAAAAATTCTTGAACACACGACTGTGGAATGGTTTTCCTCCAGTAGGTTTTGGCAGTGGGGCAGCGTCGAAGGATTTTATCTAAGTTTTCTAGATCTGCATGGCAGAGTGCGCAAGTTCCTTCAGTGGCTATACCCCGTCTGATTCGTTCTTCATCGGTAAGGAGACGGTTTTTCAAGGCCAGGCATAAGAATGTTCTGATTCGTTGTAATCCTGGCCATTTCCAGTCCCAAGACCAATTTGTGCTCTGTTCAGTTGTTTACCATTCTAGTCCCGTTAATAGTCTGTCTTAATGATGAAATTTTTGTAAGGGAATTTCTGTTTGAAAACTTAATTGGCTAAAATAACCTCAATTTGAGCATGTGTAAGTATGATATGTGAGTGTAATTTGTCTTTCACTATGTACAACATATCTTTTGGGATATGTAAATGATTTTCATATTGATAGTTATTGTATATTATTGTTGATGGGTTGTACACAACAGGAAAAAAGAAATTACACTCAATGATTATAGTTGCACTTGTTCAAATTTATGTCTTTTTAACTAATTAAGTTTTTAAATAGGGTTTCTAATCCGATTTCACTTTTTGTTAATTGTACTATTTAGTAACCTCGCATTATTTTTCTTTACAAGACATTTATACTTAAATGCCGTCCCAAGAAATTCTTAAATTTTATTCCTTATATTTACATGTTTGGTTGTATTGTGAAAAGTTGATTATATTATCTCGTGTCTTTAATATAAAAAACAGTTTGATATTTAATTTGATCCTAAATATAATTTCATAATTTATTTTGTCTCTCATATTTATTAATTGTTTTACAGATAGCTTTTATAATAGTTGTACATATTAAAATTTCATCAAATGATAGTTATAGCTAATACATATTACTAACAAAGATATTTTTAGAAAGACAATACCTATTTATTATAAATAATTAATTTAACTAATTTTTTTAACCTATTTAAATTAGTTAATTATTTTTTAAGAAATGAAATTAGTGTATATATATAGACACATATATACCTAAATGAGGTGATCAATTTAAAGGTAGAAATCAGAAAATGACAAAAGGGCAACGGAAGGACAAACCCCACCACGTAGATAAGGGGGAAAAAAGAAGACAAGCTATCCAAATCATCCACCAAACAGCATCACGAGGATGACACTAAACCAGCTTCTTTTTGGGGGAGAAAAAATGAACTAAAAAAACCAAAAACAAAAGGGGGGGGGGAATATAACTGTAAAATAGCTTTGTCTCAAAAATTACAAAAACTCAATTTTAGGTGAAAGCCAAACAGCCATTCAAATAAGTTGTCTATCCTTCCTTTATTTGGTTATTCCCAAGAGATATCCGGAAACTAGTTTTGGAGAGAGGAGCATTGAAGTCTTGATCTTTTAGATACTTCTCTGGTTTTATTTATAAGGTATTTTCAGCATGTTTCACACAAACGAAGAAAAATCTTGAACTTCATTTATTCTCATTTAAAATTTAATAAATTTCCAACTTTAACTCTATTTAATATACATTATACCTTATGTAAACAAAATCAACACAATAACAAAATGAGGGGTAAAATTGTACATCTATATAAAAAATTTCTTTCAGTGTCCTATAAATAAGACCAAAAAATCTTATTTCTCTACCTTATAAATAGAACCAAAGAAGTATAATCTAAATGATTTTTGATAAGTACAGGTATTTTTTTTTATTAGAGACAATCCCGTTCAAAATATTGTCGGACACTAAATGTGAGTATGAACTCAAACCTTGGTGATCAACTAGTGGTTTCTGCTAGACTTGTCCTCGTCCAGTTGTGTTGAATATTTGCCGCTGAAAGGGTATATGTTCATTTTTGTTGGGTTTTAATGTCCACTTATGATGAATTAATGGGCCAAACCCAATATAATTTTTCTAATATTAACAATTAAATGCTTTATATGGAGGCAAAACAAAAAAAAAGATTAAATGCACTGTTGTGGGAAAGGAAACAGATTGTCCATCACGAAAACTGTAAACTAATGGGTCCTAATTCCTATATCTAAAGGAGTGCGCGCGCACACATAAGGGAACATAGAATTTCTCTTCCGAAAAAGGTTTCTCTCTTCAAATTTCTACTTTCTTCTTCTGTCTATACATTTGCTGTGTATGAATATTAATGATTCTGCTACATGTGGGTTGAAATATATATCTTAATTGGAGTCAAGTAAATCACCGTTTTTGACAGTTTTTAATTCGGAGAAATTCATGAGCCTAAGTACATGAGCATTATATGAAGAAAACTGATAAAATCCAGTGGATCTTATGAATACACAATTACCATATGTCAAAAGAGAAGAGAAAGAACATAAAATGTGGAATCAGCGTTCTTCTATCTGTCAGCTCCTTAAAAAACTGAGAAACCCATGTGCAGCAACTACAGGTCCCAATAAAATTATTCAAGACAGAGTCCATTATATATGAGCAATGGTTTACAGAATGATTTAAAACAGAGGAGAAGAACAACAATTTGATTGATTACTTTTGATAAAATGAAACATCAATTTGTTTAGTTAATCCTCTATTTACATAGTAAAGAGAGAGAAGAACATCAACTTAATGAAACTGAGCATTACCTGATCAATCACAACAACGAATGCTCTGTATGCTGTATATATCACAAACATGTATAGATTCTGGGTACCAAAAAATTTCCCCCAGATCACCCTAGCCCTAACATAAAGCAACAAATCGGAATTCTTGCTTTCACTATATACACATAGATGGTTTCCTCAAGTCCAATGAATTAATAGAAATTAAGAAAGATGAATCCCTCCCAAAATCTGCTTACACAGCTCCACCAGATGGTACAAAAGAAAAGCCGACGAAGTAGGCACACTCATGGCAAGCAAGGCAATCATCCCCAGGGCCAAGCTCGGCCTCGTGTTCATCAACTGCGTCTGCAGCACTCCCAGTGCCTCGCAAATCATGGAGTCATAGCTCGTGTAGTAACGCTTCTCCCAGTCCATCCAATCTTCCGGCGGCTCGTAGTTCTTCTCAATCATCTTCATCTCATGGATTCTCTTCCTCAGAATGATCATGCTCTCGTCCACCATTCTCCCGCCAAAATTCTGATCCGCCGCCTCTCTCCTCCACGCCAGGACGCTGGTTTTCCTCCGATACAGGCTCGGCCTCGAATTCGAATCAGGAACTGAGAGGAATGAGGGAGAATTTAAGGAAATGGATTGCATTTTGATGATTTTTGGATCGATGAATTAAGGTTTTGAGTTTTGAGAGTCGTTGGATTTGTACTGTAAGGGTTTGTATGAGGATAGAATGTGATCTGCGTTGGGAGGGAAGAAACGAATTTATAGATCGTTAGAGAGAAAAGTAAAATAATTATAATAAAATTAAAAAAAAAAAAAAGCGCCGTGAGAGGAGGAAGCATCTTCGGGAAAAAGCCAAGCAACGAGGCAAAAGCGTGTTTGTTTTGCGTGACGCCTGAGAAAAAGCCATTTGTCAAAGCCAGAAAGCGACGTGTGGCTGCCAGAATCTGAGGAGGTAATTACGTACCGTAAGGTGCATGAATGTGTGCAGTGAGTAAGATGAATATATCGATATAAATTTGTAAAGCTTTATAAAAAATATATACATATAATAAAAGAAAATAAGTTATAGATTTGTTCCCAAAATTTTAGCAAATAATGCTTCTTATCATTAAATATGTTAATAGTCTATATCAATATTTTAACAATCAATATTAGTTTTTTAATGATTAGAGATAATATTACTATGATTTTAAATTTTTAAAGCAAATTTACACTCAACAAAACTTTTGGTGCTCAACATTCTTGAATAAAAATTCATAGGATAAATCTGTATCTTAATCCATTTTTATAATGTTTTTTCTTTTTACAAAGTAACATGTTATTATTAGTATTATTTAAGTATGAGATTGCGTGTAAGTGTTTGAATTCCTTTCATTAAATAAAAATGACAAAACAATATTATCTCATGTTTTCTTGAAAGTATTTACTTTTATAAATTTTTATAAAAAATTAATATGAAATATAACCTTTTTATTGTAGATTTTTTGCAACTACTATTATTTTTTAGGTCTTCTTCTCATTGAATAAAATGCACATAATTGAAAAAGTCTCCTTAATGAGGTGCTTAGGTTTATCAATATTTATCAATGGAGGGAGTCATGATTTGATTATTAAAAGGTCAAGAACTCAAGATTGAAAAGCATAATATATATTTGGGACAGGAAAATATAAAACTTTTTCAAAGTAAAAACTTTCAAAATAAATTTACACATTTACCCATAAAAAATAAAGTAAAAACTAAATTTTAATAAACAGGGGATCATAACTGATAACTCCTATCAATTCCCTTTGCCATTGATTATTACTCCCTCCGTTTCTTATTATAAGAGACATTTGATGCTTATGGTATGTTCCTATATATAAGAGACACTTACAAGTTGTATCTACTTTTTTGTGTTGATTTACTATTTTACCCATATTTATTATCTCCAACTCATACTCTCTCTCCCTCCCACTTCTCTTTCTTTTAATAATTTAATTGTTCTCTCTCATGCTCTCTCTCCTTATTAATGAGGGCATTTTTGGAAAAAAATTATACTTTTTACACATTAATTGTTCTTAACTAATTTTAACTGTTTTTTTGATCAACGTACTTCGGTTATTTGTCTCTTATAATAAGAAACGGAGGGAGTAGTTCACTTCCTCCCTTGAATAAATGAGTAGAGCCGAATCCAAATCATATTTGGTTATCGTAAAACTTGGAATATGAAATTTTAGTAAGCTATCATATAATAAATATAACAATATTTTAAAATTTATATTATATTATTTGAATTTTTTTAATTTTATTTTTGAAAGATTTCCTACGATGCCATTATTTTATTATTTAAATTTTAAAACTTATTATTGTTATCTCTTTAGTATTATCAATTCATGAAGCGTTTTAATCTGAAATTTTCAGGTAATTTGGATACTAAAATTTCATCATACCAAAAAACAAAAAGAATTTTTATTGATATTTCTTTGCCTCATCTAAATAATACATTCATAATAAATATATTAAATTAAGATGACCCTAAACCCCAATAAAGAAGGATATATGAGAATATGTGTCTAGTTTTTTATAAGTTAATTAAATATAAGTTTGAAAGAATGATGCATGACTATATAATAGTTATATTTACTACATGATCTCACGTTCGCACTTAGATGCCAAGCTCAATTATATAACTCGCTCAAAAAGAAATTGAAATTATCCAAAATTAAAACGACGATGGTTGCAAAATTATAGGTTCATGTGCGCAGGAGGAGAACATTACCCAGAAGAGAGTGACGGTCTGGTGCGGGCAACTGTTGCCGACAAGGTAGGCCTTACCTGACAAAGGACGGCGCTAGACTAATTATGATATTAATCAGATCCTCTTCATCTTAACCGTACAAGCATTTAAATACACTGTCTATTTTGAATTATTAGTTTGAGTGGTACTTTTTTATTTCTTTATTTAATAAAGGAATTTAACGGTTTTTTAGGTTGCTTTAAATCTATTCCAGTCAATAACTTATCTTCTGTTGGCCTAAAAACTTGCGTTCCAAGTTAATTACAAATGAGTTATTTTTATGAAGTATACAAGAGTGATCCATTGGAGCAATAAGAGCCAGCTTGATCATATCATAACATTTGGGATATGTTTAGTTTGACTTGATTCGATTTAACTAAAGATGTGTTTGGATAGAAATCAAACTATGGTTTCAGAAGTGTTTTTACGGTTTACAAAACAAATATGTGAAAGAATTTGTCTCGTTTTGCGGAAAAGTGTTTCTGAAACTAGGGTTTGGAGGTTGACAAACACTCTTTAAGTAACATTAAAAGTCAACTATGTTCTCAATATTGATAGATCTTTGTAGTCAAAAAAATTACTGAAAATCTTCTTAAAATTTTTATTGTCGAAAGATATCTCAAATTTTTAGGCCTTTAAGGTGCAATTCCTTTTTAGTGATTTAATTTGAAAACATAAAAATTTAAGGTTATTTCTTCAATTTGTTCTTCATTTACAAGTTCATAGCATTTGCAATAACTCCCACCTAAAATTCCTTTTCACCTATTATATTCTAGTTTGGCAGTTTCCATCATCTGTCTAGAGTTGAGTTCTGAGATTTGACAACAAACTCAAAAAGTCATCTACAGACACTTTACACCCAATCATTTCGGGTAATACTAGATTGTATCTTTTATCTCACTGTGACTATTAGTATAGAATTAGCCGATACTTATTCCCTGTACACCATCTTTCCTTCTTCTCTGAGAAAGAAATTAACAACCCATGCATAGGCCTTCTACCTCTAGGCAACATTGCCCTTTCAAGCTTTTGCCTATTGCAAAAAAGTTCCCACTGCTCCCCCCAACAAGAGCCTTTGCAACTCTTCTCCAACTATATATAATTTATCTTAAATTATATTCAATATTATTCAAAATGAAAGTGATTTAGATCTAGTTATATAAAGATTAATTAAAGATATATTACACACAATTGAAAAAAAGTTACATTTGCTGAAAATAAATGACATTTGCCCAAAAACCTAAAAATTTCAAGTAGCTTTGAGTAATAAAATTTTTAATTGGAAAATTCTCAGCAATTTTCCCATAATTCTTTTGACTTGATTTTTTTTCAAAGAAATAGTTGTCATTTTGAACATTTCCTTTCGGTATTCGCCAATTAAAAAAATATTTACATCCGTTTCATGGAAGAGGGCTTTTTTTTTTTTTTGGTTGGGGGTGTTTACTCTTTATAGTAACATGCATATATACTATAAATAGTATATAAATAAAGAAAACACGTGTAATTGGAGCCGCCTTCCAAGCTTCTGAGAAATTAAGAAACGTCATCTACACGGACACGGCCGGAGAAAATTTCAACATTCAGTTAAACCAGCGAAGCTTCAGATTATAGTTAGGATATGGGGCGGCCACCTCCACACTCTTTTCCTTCATTTATCATCTTTCTTTCATGCCCCTACGCGTCAACCCAACACAGCACATCATTCATTTAAACATTGGACTTTTTATGCCATGCAATGCATATAGAATCTACCAATATACCAATAAGAGTTGGTCCGGTTGGTAAGGATTCAGCCCATAACGTATAAGGTGGTAAGTTTGAAGCCCGATGCCAATATGAGGATTTTATTAGTGGACGATATGTAAGTACCTCTATAAACCTCTCTGAACCTAAATGCATGCTTTGGTTCTGATAGGTTCTCGAGATCTAACTCACTTAAACTATTTTGTAAAAAAAAAAAAAAATCTATGAATATCATCAGCCGAACTTGCTGACTTATATATTGCTGCTGCCTATATATATGAAATCCTACACACACACACACATTTATAGCACTGCTTCTTCTTCCATTGTTGAAAAAGATGGCACCATCTGCTTGTGCTTCTTCTCTTTGTTTAGGCCCAACAAGACTTTTTCCAAACAAGTTCTTCATCACTACTACCAGTAATTATGTGATGACTGCTCCAAGAAGCTTCATTGCGTCTGCGTCAAACAGGGACTCTTACGGCCAACATTACGATGGGAAGCTGGTGGACGAAAGCATGATCGTTCTTCGCCTGCGAATTCGAGAGATACAGATGAAGATGAAGAAGAAGAAGATGAGTAGTGGAAGAGGTTGGAGGATTATGGAGTGGGAGAGAGGCTACTGGGAACAGAATTATGGTTCTGATATATGTGAAGCTGTGGGGCTGTTGCAGACTCTCTTGATGGAAACAAGGCCTTGTTTGGCTCTTGCCATTCTGCTTTCGGTTCTTTTGAGTTTTTCGGTTTCAATGTCTCTCTCTGTGCTTCATTTGCTGGGCCTGGCCAAGCACATCTTCATGTCCATTCATTTTTAATTATTCTGTTCTGTCCTAAACGTAACACTCATTTTGTAATACAATCTAGTTTACACTGCAGAATGAGAAGAAGGTTCATTTTGAATAAAGTATTATTTGTCATTCACATAGCCAAGTCAGGTCTCAAACTTCACATCATGTTACACGGTCTTCTAGAAAATATGCAAGAACCCCGCAACCGACCACGTCGCTCCAGCAATGCGGCGGCGGGGGCCTTTAAATTTATCCATTCTGCCTTCACCAATAAAAGAAATGTATCGGTGAAAAACAATATGAAAGGAGGGGAGAAAATCTCAGAAGTGCTCTAGAAGAATTTTCTAAATTTGAAAAGTCGTTGAATAAATGAGACACACATTTAATGGAAAAGTGAAATATCTTAATTAATTTTGAATTTTTATCTGTAATAATTGCAACTATATTAATAATGGATGTGGATGCTTCATCTCTCTCCTATCCGTCGCTCACGCTCATTAAAATTATGTGATCGCCGACCAAAGCACCAAGTCTTTGTATTTTTTAAGAAAACCATAATTTTGACTTTTTAATTTTGCTTTTGAATGATACTCAAAATTAATCTTGCAAATCAATTTTATAAATACGTTACAACCAAATCTATTCTTGAAATCATAATTATAAATCAATTTTATTTAAAATTTATTCTGCCTCTACCATTTTTATTTTCTTTTTGAGAGTTCTCCCGCTTAATTAACATTCTTTCCCTCCTAATGTTTTTCCCATCCAACTATAAATATAGGGTAAATCCAAATTCCGCGCTTTAATTTAGGGAAATAAATCACACATTACCAAATGCAATCACGTTCAATCGCAAAGAATTTGACATGAACGAAGTCAACGAACCCATTTGCAGTCGTAGGAACATACTGCGGATGGTTTATACCTACAAGGAATTCACGACCAAGCATTTGGCAGCAGATCTGATTCTCTTACATTTACTATCCAAATTTTATATCTTAATTTTATTTTATATCCACTCCTAATTATAATATCTCATTTGTAGTCTCATTTCCGGAGGTAGTATTTTAAAAATTATGCACATTTAAATGGAAGAGGGAGGGAGAATCGGAACCATGCAGATTTGTTCAAATTTGCCGTTGAAACTTGAAACCGCAGCACAGCAACAAAACGCTATGTTTTACACCTATGACAACTTGCTGCTATATTCAACACATCCTAAGTAGATCCACTATACATTCATCACATCGAATGTTGTCCCCAATGGCATTTCTAATCTGCGAAGGGTGTACCTAATCACATCATGATCAAGGCCCTGTTCTATAAGGAAACAAAGAGCTTATTGGCTTGTAAAGTCAGGACTGAGAAGGTCATCCTTTGCAAAGATCTCCCTCTTTACTTACTCAGCACCTGTACGAGATAAATCAATATATGATAGTTGAGTTGAAATCTGACAAGAACAGTACTAGTGCCCAGCAACCCAACTGACTACAAACCTTCTAAGATGAAAGGTCCAACAGGATCAGGTTGATTTGAATCAACCTGCTTCACTGGTTGATTTTCAAGTGGATGACCTTCTTGTTCAGGATTAAGCTCCTCAAGTTTTGAGTGTGATTTGTCGTGGTCGAGTGCAGATGGCTCAAGTTGCTGGTACTTAGGCTTGTTCTTCTCAAGGAGAAGGTAGGTGGTGCAGTACCAAAATAAGAGTATCTTGCTTTGTGCGACCACTGTATCCCTAATTTTGCTTCCTCCAAAGGATATGCGCTCCAGTGCCTGCGAGTAAGAGAGCGCGGATCAGGAAAGCAAGACAACAAACTAACAATCTCTATTAGAAGTGTTTTTAGACTATGCGAAAACTAGATAAACTAAGATGATTGATACAGATAAAAATATGGACACATGACTACAACAGCACAAGATATAGAGTTTAAATTCAAATTATAGTGTCGTAATCATAACGTATCAAACATGATACAGCTTTCCAAGCAATGGTACTTCATGGCAAATAACTGATTCTGTTGGATAGAATCAGTGTTGTTGATAGCTTACAATAAGCAAGATATAATTTGGGGCGGACTATTTGCAGAAACCATCCACTTTTAAGCAGTTGTATTGAATTAGCCCTTAGTTGGAAATTTTTCTTCGAAAAAAAAAAAAAAGGCTCCTTCCTCACCTGTTCTCCCGTTTGAATATCAAATGGATTATGATGTTCAAATTGAAGACCACTAAATTCATTGATGCAGAGTCCCTGAAAAGCCCTGAAAGAATACACGAACCAATTTCATCAGCGCCTAAGTAAAGGAAACCATATTCATCTTGGAGTATTCTTTAGCGCGAGAGAGCTTCCTCGTACAGGTTACATTATTGGAAAACTTTTAATTACTAAAAATTAGGATTCTGCATACCATCGAATGAGCGAAATGCGAGGAATCCAGCGGAAGATGATTGGAGTATTTTCAGGATTGACATAATAGCCTCCAAATACAATAAAAACAGTCATAAGAGAGGGGCCAACTGCCATGGCTGCTTCAGTGGTTGGAACCATTGCTCCAACAGTAAGACCCATCGCAGATGCAGCAAAAGATTCCACAGTGACTATGCCACAGAATTTCCCAAATCTGGAATGTCAAGCCTAGTCAGTAATACTTGAGATAATTTTTTTAAAACACTTTGCACAAATCATCCCATCCAAAGGGTAAACAAAGGCAGGGACCAGGGGAGAAGACATGTTTTTGTGGGTGTCAGGATATATTCGTCTATGCTTTTCAAGAGATAAGAGAAGCATATTATTGACATCTTGTATAAGAAAATATATTATTGACATTTAAATCATTTGCATTTATAACCAAATCAATAAACAATGCGACTCATTTCAAATTCTATGCTACAAACAAGACCTATATCTAGTAATCTTAGCAAAGTCATTTATCCCCTCTAAAATTCATTACAGCCCCTATAAAGGAAACAAGTTATTTTCACAATCCTGTCCAGAGACCACTACGGAATTTTGCCATACATAGTGCTCTGTTTTCTCATGATATCAGCGGCAAAGAAATTTGCAATCTACAGTCAAAAAATTCAAAGAAAAAAGTGACATTGCAATTGTTGATCATAATGATTGACTTGGGTAGCTGACCTCAGTAATGTAGGATGGAGACGCGCCATAGGGTACAAAACAGCACCAAACATCAGTGGAAAAGCTGCTCCAATAGGAATCTCAGCGAGCAATTTTGAAAACAGATAAGGACCCAATGAATAGGAGCCTTTTGCACGTTCTCTATCTACAATTGTCCGCTCCTTTGGAAACACCCCAACAGTCTTTGTAAGAGCAGCCATAGCTGTGTTTATTGCAGCAACCTGTGAATGCCAATCATGTGAGGAGCACGAAAAGGCAAACCTAATGCAGATTCCAGAGATACTGTAATTCTAGTGACTATCAAAATTATGGATACAATTTGTGCCTGCTCAATTTAATAGTTCGTACTCATGATTGCCAAACTCTCTCGTAAGTTTGCAGAAGTCCCACCAAAATTTAAAGACATACACCCAATGGAATCATGTAGACTAACAGACAAAAATGCATTGAAAAATTTCAAAGTCCCTCTGCCCTGTAGATTAGCAGCCAATCAGGAAATAGGAATGAAAGAACAAAAACAACCAAACAACCTGAAGCAATCCCATTCTGTCTTGTATTGAAGTCTGAGATCTCCCCATTCTCCAGAAAACCGAACCAAAAATAACAGCTGAGGCAATTGACATCCTTGCTCGAACTTTGTTTGTTGGTCCATCACGGGAAGCCTAGTCAACCATTAGAATTTTCAAAGAAAATAAGAAACACAAGTTCCACTCTACTTACATGAGAAAGACCGAATCAATTAATTATATGCATATCTAGAATTTTGATTCATAGCCAGGTTAATCAGGGATGAAGACATGAAGAAAATAACTGATGTTGAAACCAAAGGTAAGGTGGGAGAAGAAGCAGATTTATCATAAAACAAGATGTGAAAAGGAGAATTGATACTTATGCCATCTTTCTAATCGTGTCTTGCCAAATGACATGATCAAGCCTCATTAATCTTTTATTTCAAGGCAAAAATAATCCTATGCAGGTCCTATCATGCACTTTACACAGAAAGTCAATACATAGGCAGACCTGCATCCATGCTCGCCTGAGGAGCAACCAGAACTGTTTCCACCAACCTCCTTTCTTCTTAGCTACAGTTCTCATCCCAATTCTCTTTCCATTTTTGTGAAGCACTTCTTTGGTAATTGGAGTTGCATATATTATCGTAGAAAGTCTTTCAGAAAATGACTCAACAAGACTATCAATTCTCTTCTGAGAGGAATAAACACTTTCAGTAGAACTGTAGTCAATGGATATAAGATCAGCCAAAAATTCAGCAGGATTCACATGATCAGGGCAATGGTACCTGTTACATAAACAACAGTCAACCATCCGTTCAGAACTAACTGTACAAGATGTATAGCTGTAACGCTGACTTGAACAGATAAACAATGCACTGTCAAAATATTAACAAAAAAATATTGAACAAGTCAAAGGGAGCATGTGCCTCCAAAGAAACAACACTTCTACATTTTTTTTTTTTTTTTGCAACAACGGTTTGTATAACTCAAATAAAAAAACAATGAAAAACAAGTATTCACACTATTGCAAAATATTTTTCTCAACTTGAAGCCAAAATAGAAACATTTGCAAATTATTTTTTCCCTTACATAAGCGTAACTTCCATTAATGCTCGACCAAAAAAAAAACAAGAAGACCCTCACTTTTCTCACACTGGTTTGTTACCTGAATCATGGTAATTTTAATAGTTCACTACAAGAATTGGTATAAATTTATGAAGTCAAACTAGAAAAGTGAATTATCTCAACATTATGATCAGTTTCAAGCAAAAACTCTATACAGCAAAGTGTAAAATTTAAATTTCTGACTAAATTAACTCAGACACCACATCCATAAATTATTATTATTACATTTTCTTTTCAAAAGACACCCCCCTATGAAAAATGTACGATTGAATAAAACAGAGAAGGTTAGAATGACAACCCAAGTTTTGAGAAGTATGCCAATGGTTCATCACGCGCAGGGCCAGCATAAACAAGTGAACCCTCAGTTAGCAAGACGATGTCATCAAATTTGTTATACACTGAACCTCTTGGCTGATGAATAGAACAAATTACTGTATGACCATCTTGTGCAAGGTGTTGGAGAGTTTCCACCACTTTCTCAGCCTGAAAGGCATCAAGTCCTGGAAGCACCACAAGTAAATTAGTGATGAATGAAAGAACAAAAAACAAGTTATAATTTGGAGTTTAACTTCTGTTGCCAGGGAAAAAAAAAATGGAGTTTAGCTTCAGATTTTGTCAAAAGCTATGAGAATGGTTAAGCCATTTAGTCATTAACGCATAAGCTTCAGATTATTACGTTAAACATTAATTGAATGCAGCAAGGAAGCAGTGCCTACGTAGATAATGTTACAGTATACTTAATTCAAAAAAATAAAAAATATTGAGCAGTGCCCACAGGGTATTATATTAGCCACGTATTAAGCTATATTATATGCAGAACTCAGATCTGTTGCTAGGCAAATAATGGAGAGGCATACTTACCGGTAGTTGGTTCATCAGCAAATATAACAGACGGGCTTGCAAGAAGCTCACACGCCAAAGATAAGCGTTTCTTTTCACCACCACTAATTCCCCGAACTTTGGCATCACCGACAATGGTATCAGCGCAGCTGACCTTCAGAAGAAAGGGATTCAAGTTGCCAAAGCGGGTAAATATGAGTACCATAGGAGTAGAGTAGAATTATTTAAATATATGATATGAAGACAGACAGCATCCATAGTTAATAATCAGCGATCACTTTAACCCATTAAAAATTACAACATATGAGGGCATCTTACCAATCCTAGCTTGAACAAGAGATTTTTCACATATTCATCCCTCTCTTCCGCGGAAGATATGCCAGGCAGCTGGAGCTCTGTAGCAAGCGACAATGTTTCTCGCACTGTGAGCTGCGAGAAAAACAGATCCTCCTGTCTCACATAAGCAAACCTACAGCCATGACAAAAATAAGAACTCTTATCCTTAGATAAAGGAATCACAAGAAAAAGCAGGAAACAGAAGTTGCTAACAAGCCTACTTATAACTTCTCTTTGAACTAGGCCTGCCATTGAACTCCAAAAGGCCTGACAGATGCAGCCGGGGAGATGCTGCTAGCTGACCCGCAAGAACATTGAGCAATGTAGTTTTTCCAGAACCCGACGGGCCCATTATAGCTAATAATCTTCCAGGCTTCGCTTCTCCGCTCACATTTTTGAGCAAAAATCTCACCTATCAATTTAAAATTACAATTACCATTGTAAAGAATGATTTCAACTTACAAACTGTCCTCTTCATAAAATAAAGCGTAATATCCGTAATTTCCAATTTCCTAACATAACAACTGAACAGAGCATTCACGAAGCGTCACAGAGTAAGAAGACAGAAAACTCACAGACTTGGAGGATTTATCAGAAAGAGAGCAGGTGATGTCGCTCCACCGGATTGTGACCGGAAAAACTTTGCCCGAAACCGGACCTTCGCTCTCCCCTTCATCAATATCATCATTCGCCCCATCTCCCTGGTCCTCATTATCGGTTTCTGGGGGCAACACGGGACCGGGACCAGAGAAGAGGCGGACAAGGACGGTCACTGCCACAGCAGCGAGGACCTGGCCGAGACCGTTACCACCGAAGCCTGAAACCATTTGGCGCAACTTTTTCCCGCCAAAAGCCACCATTATGTTCTTCCAGTAATTGCTTCTCTTTTTCCTTTCGTCTCGCAGTGAACTACGTTCTCTGCTGAACCTCCTTGCTGATAACTGAAAATGCCAAAAACGGAGAAAGGAGTACAGGGAAGGACGGAAACGACATCGTTTCGTCGGAGCCTTGTTCGGCTTTTCAAGACGGCATCTAAGCTAAGCGGCCATTAAGTGACGCGTGTCGATTTCCAGATAAGATATTATGATGGGTAAAAGTGGAATTTGAGTGCCGTAAAATGCACAATTTGATGCTTTTCTTTGCTTATATTCCATATTTTGGATTTCCTTTGCCTCGATCAGGTTTTAGGAGATTGGTAATGGTTTGGCGTTATGAACTGAAGATCGATCCTCAAATGGCTTAAGTGATGGATCTCTAATTAGTTTTAATTTGAATTATCAAATTTTGACTTAAAGGTTCAAAATTACACTAAAAATATAATACTACCTCCAATTTTTGATATACGAGTTCATTTTACTTTTATTTTAGTTTAAATATAAAACCCCAATTTATTTTATTATTTATATTTATTTATTTTTTTAAGTAGTCTTATAATAAGAGATAATTAATATACAAATCCTTATAGTTTTGACCTATTTGTAATCAGGTCCTTATGATTTCTTTTTCTTTTTATTAAGTCTTTATAATTTCATATGTTTTTAATCATGTCCTTATAATTTTTTTCTTTTTATCAGATCCTTATTGTTTTATCTTTTTTTAATTAGGTCTTTATAATTTTTATTCTTTATTTTATAAATAATAAATTATTATAATAATCTTATATTAATATTTTTTTAAAATTTTTAGTTAAAAGTATATATTATTTATTTTTCAATTTTCATTTTTATTACAATAAAATTCAAATTATAGTAGTAAAATTTTCTAAAATTAGAATATAATTATAAATAATTTATAGTTAAGTATAATTTATTATTCCGATTAATTATTAATTACTAGATGATTATATTAATTATTTAATCTAATTATCTAATTATTAATTTAAAAATAAAATCAAGTTTAAAGAATAAAGTTAATAAATAATTTGTTTAAAACTAAAAAAGACTAATTAAAAAATAAGTGAAATTATAAGAACTTGATAAAAAAAATAAAGAGACATAATTAAATACACGTGTAAGTAAAAGAATCTGATAAGAAGAAATTTTTTTATAGAAACCTAATTAAAAATCATATGAAACTATAAGGACCTGGAGATTAATTATTCCTTATAATAATAGTAGTTCTATCCAATATATTTTATTAGCAATAATATTTTAACAGAAACATATATTTATTACACATAACCAATTTAACTAATTTTTTTTAATCTACTCAAATTAGTCAATTATCTCTTATATTAAGAATCGAAAGTAATACTATCTCTGGTTCTAAATATAAAATTTAATTGACTAATTTGAATAGATTAAGAAAATAAGTTAAATTAGCTATTTGTAATAAATATGTATTGTGTTTCCTAAAATATTCCTAATAATCAAATTTGTTTGTTAGAACTATCATTATTAGAATGATTATTTGGAAAAAAATGAATAAATATGAGAGATAAAATGGATTAGGATCTTATATTTAGGATTAAAACAAAAATTAAATAAGGTCTTTTATTAAGAACAGGTAGTAACGGAGAAGAGATTTTGCCAACCAGTCCGTGTGCAGGAGCTGACTTCACTGCTATAAGTCAGATCTGAACATGCCAATCAGCCTCTAATTTCATTTATCAGCCGCCGGAAAGGGTCTTACTGAACTATAGTCCCTACCGATTTGCCATATATCTACCGAAGATATCAATGGAGATCAGAGCCTTTATGGAACCTTCATTCCATGCAGAATGCAAACAGTGATAATAACCCGCAGTTCAGCTGTTGTCAACAGAAGAGAAACCACAAAAGCTGATATTTTCCGGAGAAAACATGTAATGCAATGGTGATTGGAGATGGGAAACAATGGAAGAGAACTCATCTCTAGGGTGACCAACTTGGAGGTTAGAACGGCTGAAGTATTCAGTGGAAAGGCAAATGTAAGAGAAGGGTCAGTTGTTTGGCAAGATACAACGGATCAAATTTCCGAAAAGCTTCTTCCTTTGGCCCTCCTCAGAGGCCGCCCACCTAGGCAATGATCCTTAGTGGATCACACACCAAAAATAGCTCAATGACTGGTACAGATGGATGAGATGACCTTAGGCGTCCCTTGGGATTCTTGTGATGTATATTCCAGCGTCATCCAATGATAGGAGTTTTCCTAATTTTATCAATCTGTTGAGACAATAGTTTAGCTGTATTCTCCCTGCCTCCATCAAGAAGAGCGTGTTTCAAGTTACTAAACATTGGGCCAGGAGGTCGAATGCCTACATCCAACATCTCTTGAAAGTATCTGCAAGCGTCGTCTAATCTGTTGTCAAGGCGTAATGCATTGATTAAGGTGGAAAACATATGCATTCCGGGAAGAATACCCTTAATCTTCATCTGATCCCAAACTCTGATTGCCATATCAACTCGTTCTTCATTACAAAACATCCTCACTATGATCTCGTAAGTGCTCACAGTAGGCTCACAACTGGAGTCACTACTCATTCTCTGGAAAACTAAGAAAGCTTCCTTTGTTTTTCGAGCCTTTATCAAGTGATGTAGAATTATGTCAAATGTTCGAGAATTTGGACCAACCCCACATTTTTTCATTTCATCAATCATCCTGTATGCCTCATACATCTTCATTGACCAGCAATAAGCCCCAACGACAGCATTATAGGTTGGTACTTCTGGGGCAAAACCACTAGCCTTGAATTTTTCAAAAAAATTGAGAGCCTCATCCAATCTCTTATCAGAACCCAACCCATTAATCAAAGTACAGAATATATGGGGAGTAGGCCTCAAATTTTTGGCTTCCAACTCATGATAGAACTCAATAGCTGCATCATATTTTCTAGCCTTACAATATGCACTGATGATAATGCCATAGCTAACAATATCTGGCTCAAAACCTTCATCCTTCATCTCCCGATAGACCTCATTGAGCCTCAGCAAATTTTGTTGCTGACCCCACCCTTCTAGCAATATTGTGTAGGACTTGACATCAGGTGCAAACCTGTTTTTCTTCATTTTGTCAAATAACTCTTGCGCTTTCTCAATACACCTTGACTTGCTCAAAACATCAATCAATCTATTAAAATCTGAAACTTCCAGCTTCATCCCAAACTGCTCCATCTTCTCAAATGTCTCCACTGCTTCTTTGACTTTTCTAGCCCTTGCATATCTCCGTGCAACCAATGCAAAAGTGTCTTTAGTCAACAACTTTTTATGTTTCATGTCATTAACCATATTCCATACCATCTTGAATTGTTTAATCTTACCCAATGCCTCAATCAAAGCGTTGTAGCTCTCTGTACTGTATTTGAACCCTTTTTGCTTCTCTGCCCAACGAAAGAACAATAGTGCAAGAATACCAGCATTGCTTAGCTTCTTTAAGACCTCAACTACCAGTTCTGGTGAAACCTCCACTGAAATATTACTGAGAGACTCCTCAACACTAGAACTAGGTCTGCTTGATAAAATTTTACATATCGATTCAGCTGTGAGACCTTTAACATTATCTGGGTTCATGTCTTTGGCTTCAGAAAATGCTTCTGCTTGCATTATGCTATCACTAATGGAGGTGTGGTAGCCCTGTGAAGGATGATTTCTTACAGATCCAAATGTGTTTTGCTCCAGGGGTTTCACATATTGATAGAAAATTGAACTTCCTACAGAAAGTAGGGAACTAGGAATGGATGGAATAGAACAACAATGAGAACTAGGAGCAGGGAAAAGATTTGGAGAGTTGACGAAGCTGGTAATGGTGAATCTTCTGGATACTCGTGCTAGCTGGATGAGGCCCATTTGAGAGGAGTTGCAGATTGACCCACTTGCTCCAGAGTTCAAGCTATGCTACAATCTTGCACACCAAAGCTGCTTCAAATGAAAACAAGAATGTAGAGACCAGGTTAATTTGATTTAACAAAAGGAAGTGAGCAAAATCATGTGAAACCCATCCATGCTTCCATTTCCCCCACTCCCAATAGACCTGTACACAATTATGCCACCAATTTCATTTAAATGTAGGTGTAAGAAGTATCAAGTACTGTTAACAAATCATATATACCAACCCTAAGATCCAAATGGAAGACCATAATGAAAAACAATTCATGGAAGATAGAATGGCAATGGTAACAAGTTAAAAACAGGAAAGATGTGAACAAAGTGTCTGCATTTTGCTCTCAAGAAGAACCATCAAGAAAGGAGGAAAAAAACTATCTGAAAGCAATGATTTGTGCAATTCATAATTGGGGGAGAAACAAAAGTCCGGGAAGAAAAAGGATAAAAACAACTTTTAGCGGTTTTGTATGTTGCATTCCCAACGTCATTACTAAAACTTTCGTAGATTTACCAAACAGAAGGAGGAATAAGATACAGGAAGGTTCCAACTCAACTACTTCCTCCTCATTTCCCAGGTTCAGTTTTTAGGTTCTGTTGATGTTTTGATGTAGAGCACCCAAAAGTCGCGAATTTGAGCTATACATCGGAAAGCTACGCCATCAAAACTCACTATTGCCAATGGCGAATCCAGAAGTTCAATTATTACAACATGAAAAAACAATTGGATTGTCGTGTTATACTGAGGAGTCACGGCATCGAAGTACCCGGATAAAGGACGAGAGAAACACGCAAACACATGTTCTCGCACACTGAGGAGACGGAACCCTGGGGATTAGGGGCTAGCAGTGGCTCCTTGGAAAGGGAAGACTGAAAGAGTAGCGTCGACGTGAGAGGGTGGGCGCGCGCGAGGCCAAGAGCTGGAGGGGCGTGTCCGCGTGGGCGTTGTTCCAGTACAGAATCGATAATGGTTGGGACATAGAAGACAGAGAGAAGCATCACGATGGCATATTGGTAAAATCACTCAATTCCAGAATCTTTGAATTGGGTTGATTGGCCTTTTGGGCTTTTGGCCCATGAAATATTAGGCTTAGGATTTTACCATCCCTTTCACTATATATTTCATGTACCCCACATCTTTCACCCGGCCGCCGGCTCCTCAGTTACCACACGGCATTTTGCCATTTTCACAGTCTCACGTCTTCTTCTTTCCTTCAGATCTCTGATCCATTCCTATCTTCTTAATCAAGGAAATCACAGCCGAGAATCGGGATCCAACCCTAGAAAAGCCGTATCTCTACTGTGTTTCCTTGGTTAAGGAGATATACTGGATCATCCATTGTCATCCTCAACGACAACTCGTTGATCCCTATTCATCAGATTTGCTTGGTTTTCGTCTTCATCTGTTGTTACTTTCTGCAGAAATAGGGTTCTTATAAGAACATCAAATCATTGCGTGAACTTGCCTTTCCACTCTTTTTCTTCTAATCGCTGCAAAGAGAGAGAGGTCCGACGATGAGATCAGACTTGTCTTCTGAGCCGGGATACTGAGTCTATTACACTGAAACGGGTTCCAGATATGTCCCATTCCCATATCTATTTATTCGTTTGCGATGGATACTGTCTTTTTTCAATAGGTTTGGCATCTGAGTTATTGACTTCGAATAGAAGAGCCTGAAATAGCTGGGTTCTTAACACTGTCAAGCTCTTGCTAAGTACTCAGTTTCCAATTAACAATTAACAGATCTTACAATAGCAAAAAAAGTTAACGAATACGCAATCACAAGGTGAAGTCCCACTGGAGGTAGTCGCGTGATGGGTGTCGGAGTTGACAATCACGCCGACATCGGAGAACACAAAGGAGGGGATCGATGGTTTGTATTTCTAATTCTTCCGATTTCCAGGCGTCTTCGTTCATGATTCCTGCTATCCTCGGGGGTATTGAAATATTAAAAAAATGATTTATTATTTCAGGATATATTATTCTTATGTAAATTAAAATTTAACTGATAAACAACTTGTGACAATACCTCATTTTACAACAAATAAATATCAGTGAATCAAGTTAAAGCGGACATTGCTGAATGCTAGTAGATAGTATGCCAGGTTCAACGACCATGCAATTTCAACAAGTTGAAAGAGAAACAAGAAGTTCTAACCTGGATGATAACAATTTTGCTGCGAAATCTAAACCAGCATACCTCAG